GTTAACTCACTTGAATTTAAATTAAAAAAAAAAAAAAAGACTTGTATGAGAATGTTTTTTTGTTTGTTTGCTTTTTTAAGTGGCTCCACTTCCAGTGTGGAGCCCAATGTGGGGCTTGAACTTACAACCCTGAGATCAAGACCTGAGCTGAGATCAAGAGTTAGATGCTTAAATGACTGAGTCACCCAGGGCACCCCATTATATGAGAATGTTAATAATGACTTTATGCATAACAGCCCAAAACGGAAACGGCCCAGATGTTCATCAACAAGGAGAATGGATAAACAAACTGGAATGGTCATATAATGGAATATTACTCAGTAATAAAAAAGGACAAACCACTAAATCATTTAACAACATGAATGAATCTCAAAAACATCATTCTGAATAAAGACTTAGACAAAAGAATACTTACTGCATGTTTCTATTAATATGATGTTTCTAAAAAGGTGAAAAATATCATAACAATGGAGATTGCTCTGGGCAGGGTAGTATTGGAGACCGACTGGCAAAGGGCATAAGAAGCTCATTGCAGTGTTGGAAATGTTCTCTAACTTGACTGGATTTGGGTTGCATGGGTGTGCACATCTGTCAAAACTCACTGGATGATCCGCCTAAGATGTATATATTTCACTGTAAGTAAATTTTATCAAAAAAAAAAAAAAGCAAACAACTTCCTATCAGTCTGCCTAAATGTATGGACTTGCTACAATGACTGCTATTGGCAAGGCACAAATTTGTCTAATGGACTTCCTAGTAGACTCAACACAAGAGGAAGGTGTATTCTATTGGGAGCTTGTTATTGTATTTGTTACTGTTTCTTTGCTCTAAATCATAGTGAAAAGTCCCTCTCAAAGGCAGGTCATTTGAAGGCCCAAGATTCCTTCTGCCATGTGGTCTGATGCTAGGAGCTGGTTTCCCAGGATGGTTCTTAGTCAGGATTTCATCATATATTTATTGAGTTACTGTTTAGTTACTGTTAGTTACTTGTGAAATTATTGTGGAAGGAATGTTGTGCTTAGTTCAGGCTCACATCTTCAGTGTAACTGAGCATGTCTACAATAACTTATTGTCTTATTTTTGAAAGGCTGATACACAAGAGGAAGCAACCATGTCCTGTGTGTCCCCCAAGAGCTAAGCAAGGACCCAGGTAGAGCTGCAGGGAGATAAGCAAGCTGTGGTCTAGAATGAGGACAATCCTTCTGATCACCAATGTCCTCTGGCAGTGAGACCGATTTTTGGGAAAGTAGAAGGGTCCCATTCACTCAAAAACTTTTTCCCAAACGTGTCACCTCTTTCTTTTCCTAGCTTCTTCCTCACAGCTCATAACCATACTCCATGAATCAGTTATTTATTGTTGCAAAACAAATTACTTCAAAACGTAGTAGCTTAGAAGAGCATATGAGTATTGTTTCATAGTTTCTGTAGGTCAAAAATCTGAGCACAGATTAGCTGGGTCTTCTGCTTCAGGGTCTTTCACAAGACTGCAATCAAGATGTTGACTAGAGCTGGGATCTCTTCTGGAGGTTTCACTGGGGATGAGAGATGAGCTTTATTCCCAAGTTCATTTACATGGTTGTTGGCCATGTAACTTGAGGGTAGTTGATTTGGTAGTTGGTCTGAGGACCTCAGTTCTCTGTCGGCCAGAGACTTCCCTCAGTTCCTTGCCACTCAGGCCTCTCCAATATGACAGTTTGCTTCATCAAACCCAGAGAGGCAGTGTAACCGTTTGGTCAGAAGCAAGCCACTAAAGGCAAGGGAATTACACAAGGTCATAAATAACAGCAGGCAAGAATCAGCAAGGGGAATCCTAGAGACTGCACCACATTCCAGATTCCCCCAGCACAGAATATCTTCCCTGGACTTTGTTCTATACCTCCTGTTCCACAATGCTTGTCAAACAAATGACTTGTTGAGGCTATGGAAGAAATACTCAAGCCCAAGACTTGCCAAGCTCTGTCCCGAAGACAGTTTTCCCTTTCCCCCACCTCTTTCCTATCTCTTCATGTGTAAATTCTCCCCCACTGTTCAAGTCCTGGCCAGAAATTTCCTGCTCCTTGAAATCTCCTCAGGGTTCTAGGTGGAAGTTCCCTCCAAGTGTCCATAGTCATGCCTTGAGCACTTGGCTTAGAAACACTGTGCCCACAGCTGCTGGTTCCATGATGCCATGAACATAGAATGTTTTAAAATAATTCATATCTCTCTGGATGCTCTTTTCAAGAATTTTAAGCAATTTGAAGTTTGTAGAAATTTAAGCAGGACATGGAAATGCTTCCCTTGATGTCCTTCAGTGGCCTAAGAGTGGAAAGTTCTAGCAGGAACAAAGGAAAGAGAAAAAGAAGTCTTCTTAGAGTGTTTTCAGCATGATTAGATCCTGGGGACATTGTCCCAGAAGTATAAAAAGTTTTCTTACTTTGTATGATTCCATTTCCAAACTTTTAATCACTTCAGGGAACACAACAGTCCCAATTACTACACTGATTTCAAGTTGCCTTCTGCATGTACTGGTTGTTCCTTTGGAGATTTTGCCTACAATACACAATCAAGACAGATGGGAAGAACTGGTTCTCACCCCTCTTCAAATCAGAGGTGGACATCTCAGCCTGGGCCTTTCAAACTAGTGTTGCTATTTCTGGCCCATGCACTATTCCCAAACTGTAGGGAACCTTTCTCAGTAGGTTCCTAATAAAGGTAAGTGAGAGTTCTTACCAGAGTAATCCTCAGCCTTTTGTTAGCACAGTAACATTTCCAGCCTTTGACTTGATTTTTCAAAGGGGTTGGGCTTGAAAAGGGAAGAGATGAAGCAATTTCAGTGGTCTCACAAAGACCGAGGGCAACACAAACCCCTTCTTCCTGGATTAGAAAAACCTAGATGGCAAGAAACCTATGAAACTTTTCAGTCTCATTTAATGGACTCATCTAACTTTAGAGACACCCTCAGAAATGAGATGGGCCCATGGTTTCAGAGCCCCTTCTTGTTTAACTCCAGGGAGCGTCATTCACATCACAGCCATGGAAAGGCTGGAGTTGTCCCAGAGTTAGGCTCCAGAGGGCGCCATTTAAATTGTTTGCAATGCCTTGAAGGAGCCTCACTGGCTGAGTAGCCCAGACTTGCCCAGCCCTCCTTCCCCACTTCAACAAGAGCCGCTCTGCTTTATATTTGAGGGTTCTAAATTTAAGAAAACAGAATTTCTCCTTCCTAAAAAATAATAATTCTCTTTCCTAAATAGTTTGAACATCCTTGATCTCTTATAATCCCAATACAGAATAGGGTAAGCTGAGGATGTAAGAGAGGGAAGGAAGTACTGAAGTCTACATAGCAGATTAGAAGGTTAAGAAGAATACAGTCCAAATCGCTGCCTTACAGACCCAATGACTTTCCACAGATTCACTGCAGTTCCAGAAGGAAGCTGACTACCATCATATGAATAAGGAACTCTTAGAAAGTTGCCTGCTTGGTTCAATATGAAGAAACATTTTCTAATACTCTAGAGCCTGCAAATAATGCAGTATGCTGTGTGGGAATATAGTGAGCTCTTCATTATGAAAATATGTCAAACTGATGCTGAAAGCCATACATCAGTGCAGTGCAGAAAATGATCTAGAGTGGGAGAGAGGATTGGACTAGATTACTTGGGGAGCATAATCAGTGACAGAATATTAGTCTGGGTGACATATCTAGCAGCTGAGTTAAAAGGCTCAAGGACTACTCATGTCCAGTGATTTCTGTAAGGATGCTCATCCAGAGGAAGTGTGACTCAGTAGAATAAGAAAAAAAGGACTGCTTTAGTTATCTGAGAGAACTAGATTTCCAGAAGCTGTGATCCACTATTCATTTTTACATCCAGGCCTCTATCTTCATGGAATATCTGATTCACACTATCTGGGACCTAGCAGCATTTCATGAAGTTATTTTGGAGACCCCACCACCACCACCACCAAACACGCACAACTTCCCTTTCCATCTCTGCATGTCCAGTCTCTTTTTGTCCTTGAAAACCCAGCTGGATTCTGTATCACCAAAAGAGCCTTCCATAATTCTATTCCCACCAATACCCTAGATACCTTTTCAGATACTCTAGCCTCTCCTGAATCCTTCTGCTTCCCTTTCCTGCTAAGTTGTGAGCATATTTAAGTCTGGACTATGGGGCACCCCTGCTTCTCATAAGAACTGTCATACCCACATACTAGTTAATCAACAAATATTTTAGTGGAAGGATGTTCAGACATTAATGGATGAATGGATGGGTGGATGGGTGGATGGATGGAAATACAGATGGATGGAAAGCCCTGGAGCAGGTGGGGCCTATGAGAAAGGAAATCTTGGGAACAACAGGAGTATGTTTTCTGTGAAAATGATCTAGAGAGAAGAAAGAAAGTATGCAGTCACAACTAATCATTTCACTAGTAACTGGCACAAAGTTGGAGAACATGAAGCAAACTTAAAGTCACTTTTCTGATAGAAGTCGAATGAGATGAAATGCCATATGGACATAGAACCATAAAAATGAATGTGTTATGGGGCACCTGGGTGGCTCAGTCATTAAACATCTGCCTTCAGCTCAGGTCATGATCCCAGGGTCCTGGGATCGAGCCCCGCATTGGGCTCCCTGCTCCATGGGAAGCCTGCTTCCCCCTCTCCCACTCCCCTTGCTTGTGTTCCCTCTCTCACTATGTTTCTCTCTGTCAAATAAATAAATAAATAATCTAAAAAAAAAGAAAAGAAAAAGAATGTGTTATATGTCTTATCTCTGATCAAATGCATTAAATTATCAGAATGACCATTTTACATATTATAAATTTGATGTCCTATGCCCCAAAGTAATTTCTGATTTTATTGCTTCTTTTTCTTGGAAGAAATAGAGACTGTGGACTATCAAGACTATTTTCTAACAACTCAGCCTAACTGGAACTCCAGACCAGATGCCCTGGACCTAAGCAAGGCAAAGAATATTGAGTTTGGATCTCCGAGTGTTTTCCTCTGTTGAAAAAGACATACCATGGAAAGTGTCAACCAGACCATCTCTGTGACAGAGTTTATTCTCCTGGGCCTCTCAGACCACCCAAAGCTAGAGAAAACGTTCTTTGTGCTCATCTTCCTGATGTATATAGTGATCCTGCTGGGCAATGGGGTCCTCATCCTGGTGACCATCCTTGACTCCCGCCTGCACACGCCCATGTACTTCTTCCTGGGGAACCTCTCCTTCCTGGACATCTGCTACACAACGTCCTCAGTCCCCCTCATTCTCGACAGCTTCCTGACCCCCAGGAAAACCATCTCCTTCTCCGCCTGTGCCGTGCAGATGTTTCTTTCCTTTGCCATGGGAGCCACAGAATGTGTGCTCCTGGGTATGATGGCATTTGATCGCTATGTGGCCGTCTGTAACCCCCTTAGGTATCCTGTGGTCATGAGCAAGGCTGCCTATGTGCCCATGGCTGTCAGCTCCTGGGCAGCTGGAAGCATGACTGCCATGGTGCAAACATCCTTAGCAATGCGACTGCCCTTCTGTGGGGACAATGTCATCAACCACTTCACCTGTGAGATCCTGGCTGTCCTGAAGTTGGCCTGTGCTGACATCTCCATCAATGTGATCAGTATGGCAGTGGCCAATGTCATCTTCCTGGGCATTCCAGTTCTGTTCATTTTCGTCTCCTATGTGTTCATCACTGCTACCATCCTGAAGATCCCCTCAGCTGAGGGGGGAGGAAAAGGCCTTCTCCACTTGTTCTGCCCACTTCACAGTCTTGGTCATCATCTATGGAACAATCCTCTTCATGTATGGGAAGCCGAAGTCCAAGGACCCCCTGGGGGCGGACAAGCAGGATGTTTCAGACAAGCTCACCTCCCTCTTCTATGGGGTGGTGACCCCCATGCTCAACCCCATCATCTACAGCCTCAGAAACAAGGATGTGAAGGCTGCTGTGAAGAATCTGGTAAGTCAGAAATGCTTTACCCAGTGATCTCTGGAGGACAAATGTCCCTATAGTTCTGTGCTCTTGGCTCTCGCACCCAGGAATCTCAGAAGAATGTGTCCCCAAAGAAGAGATATGTGAAGAATGATTACCAGAAAATAGAATTACATACATAATGGAGAACTTTAGCAACTACTGGACCCAAGTTCTAAAAATGATGAAATCTAAAACCTGACGGGATGAGACTTGAGGGGATGGAATGGGTGCTGCTGAAAAAACAAGTAGTAGGGCGCCTGGGTGGCTCAGTTGTTAAGCGTCTGCCTTCGGCTCAGGTCATGATCCCGGGGTCCTGGGATCGAGTCCCGCATCGGGCTCCCTGCTCGGCAGGAGGCCTGCTTCTCCCTCTCCCACTCCCCCTGCTTGTGTTCCTGCTCTCGCTACCTCTCTCTGTCAAATAAATAAAATAAAATCTTAAAAAAAAGAAAAAACAAGTAGTAATTTTCTGGTTCCCTTCCAGGCACATCTGAATTCACCCTTGTGAGCAGTCGCTTCATTGTTTTGGGAAAAACAGCTTAGCGTTTTTTTGAGTTACATAAAGATCTAAGATCCTTCTGTGCAAAGAAGGTGTGGAAGACAGTGTGGGGCAAAACTTCATGACATAACAGTACAAAAAATTGTCTGCATTGGAGATGAAATGGCACATCTTTCAATGTTGTTTTTCTTAGTGGCAGGGCTGAGACAGGAGATGAGAATGAAATTGGCTCTTTCCTTCCCCTGAGACTCCGAGGAGTTGGAATCATGTAGATTCCATGTGGAGTATTTCCTTTGAGGGCAAGTAAGCTGGATCCTACAAATGCATGTGGAAGATCCTAGCCCAGGAGCACTCATAGCTGGTATCTGGTTTTAAGCTTCATTTTCCTGACCTCAGTAAGTCTTACATATTTAAGTACACAGTCTGGCCCGATAGTCTGGAGAGTTAGAGGATGGACCTGTGGGGGAGAGTAGAGCAGGAGCACCATGGGACCAGCAGAAGATGGGGCAAGGTGGCTGACTGAGGAGAAGTGGAATGATAAAACTGAAAGACAGAACCAGTTCACCAAGCACCTGAGAAGGGGTCCAGAGGTGTAATGTGTGAGGATCTCAGTCACTAGAGACACAAAAAGGGACAAAGATTCTGTGAGGGAGTGAACTCTGAATGTCTTTTTCCTTGAGGTATCTGGATGTCTATTTTTTTCCTGAGAATCAAAATTTCCTAATGAAAATAAATGCTCCCTGCTTGCCTTGCCTGGGTGTCCTGAGCTTCTCCTATCTGAGATGCAGCCAGCCACCCCCTTCAGCCCTACAGCACTCTCCTGTCCACACTGGGCAGAAACGTGGTCGCTGGTCACTGCCTGTGTGGGCCCTTAAACAGTCTCTCTGGCTAGTCCTGTCTCACCATTTCAAACCCAGTATTATCTGTCCCACTCTGGTGTGAATTTGCCTTTCCCTGTTGAGCACAGAGCCCATCTATGTCCTTCTTAGCTCACTACAGGGAGGATGACATCAATTCGGGATCAGTTCCATCCTTTATAAGTCAAGAATTGACTTAAAAATGAAACATACTTGCAGAGCAGAATTCCTTTTCAACAAACTTCATTTTACTAGTTTTGACTCAGAGAACCGTAACTAGTTTCCACCCAGATCTTTCTACAGGACTCTCAACAGGACTCCTTCAGCTGATGAAAGTCCTACCCTCAGAAAGCCTTCAGATGTCACTCTCCTTCATGAATCAGCTAAAGAGTGCCCTTAGCTGAAGAGAGCTGACTCCCCCAAGATCATGCCCCCTTCCTTAGGGCAGCCCATAACCAGTGATTGACTGATGGAGAGATATAAACATCTTGCCCCTACACAGGATACTTCTGAAGGGTGATCCTACTGCTAGAGCTCCCCATGGGGTTGACTGCGGCCTTTGTTGAGACTACATCATGGGGCAACTCCTCCTTCTGCCCAATCCTGCTTTCTCATCCTCTCTTCCACCAGTGTTGATCCCAAGAGCACTCCCTAATAAATATTATGCCCCGCAATCTCCATACTAGAGTCTGCTTCCTGGCAAACTCAAACTGTGACATCATGCAAGCTCCATTGCTCACATAATGCATATATTCTCTTTTCAGAATCCATGGACACTGGCAATCCTCACAAAAATCATGTACAATAGTTGTGTTAGCATCAGAAGCTTTGAAACCAGACCTTGGTTAGGTTCCAGTTCCTCTATTTATCAACTTATCTTTAAGTTTGTTTTATATTATAGTTAACTTCTCTGAAATCTGCCTACCACCTATTTAGTTCAGTGTTTCCCATTCCCATTTTTTGCCATGAACCACAAAGAAAATAATGGGATTTGTATGGCACCCTGGGATAGGTAGATGGTAAAGGCAATTCACCTGGGGGATTAGGTCACAACATGTCCTGCTTAATGACCCTAAGAGGACTCTAAGCTTGGCATATCTGGACCCTGTAGAAAACTAACTAGAACGTTCTGCCAGAGGCAAGCTGTTTCCTCCTTAGTACCTGATAAGAGGACAGTAGTGCCCCTTCCCCTGGGCACAGATGATTGGACTATTGACCAAAACAGAGCTAATCATATTTTCTCTCCAAGGAATATGAATGTGGATATAGAGACCCTTGTAAGTTGGCATAGGGCTCTTGAGCTGAGAGACCACATAAATGCAGGACTAATGTGGCAATGTGGCCATGTGCCTTGCAAGAAAGAGAAAGCTGGTCTGCAGAGAAATGATAAATCAAATGCTCCAAGAGAACCATACAATACATGACCCAAGACATGGAGAATTTCTCTTTCATTTTATGGAAAGATTTAAATCTACAGAAAAGTAGAGAAAATAATAAAATGAATCCTTAGGTATTCATGTCCCAGATCCAACAATGAGCCATTCATGACCAATCTTGTTCACCTATAACTCCAAGGATTATTTCTCCCTCTCCTGAATTATTCTGAAACAAATCCCAGATATTCGTAGTATATCATCCTTAAATATTTCTGTATTTACCTCTTAAAATGATTAGTACTCTTGTAAAATATAAATTACCATTTCATACCTAAAACTCACACTAATTCCTTGAAATCATCAATTATCCAGCATTTTATATTTCCCCAAATGTCTTATAAATGCTGTAATTATTTCAATTTGTTTATTTGAGTCAAAATCCAAATAAGACTATACGTTATGATTAGTGTATTTTATTCTGCAGTTCCCTTTCCCCTCTCCCATTCCCTTCCTGTCCTCCCCCCGCCCAACTCCTTAATTTCCTCTTAATTTGCTACAGCAGCTTCCAGAACTCAGAGACACATTTTACTTACTAGACCACTGGTTTATTATAAAAGGATATAATTCAAGAATAGTCAGATGGAAGAGATGCATAGGGCAAGGTATTGGTGAGGGTGCAGAGCTTCCATGCCCTCTCCACTCTCCCCTATGTTCACTGTTCACCAACCCAGAGGTTCTCTGAACCCTGACCTTTTTGGTCTTTTTGGAAGATTCACTACATAGGCACAATTGACTAAATCATTGACCATTAGTGGTTGTTTCGATCTCCAGTTCCTTTCCCTGCCCTGGAAACTAGGGATGGGGATGGAAGTGGTGGGACTGAAAGTTCCAACATTCTATTCAATGTTGGTCCCCCTGGCAAACAGCCTCCATTCTTATTTATGTTCCAAAAATCATCTCATTAACATAAACCCTGGTGTGGTTGAAAGGGGCTTGTCATGAATAATAAGACACCATTTCACCTTTATGGCTCTGAAGTGTTTCTCAGGAACGGAGGACAAGAGACCAGACATTGTAACAAATGTGCTCCCATTGCTCTTGTTCAGGAAATTCCAAGGGCTTTGGGAGCTGTGAACCAGGAATCTTTGACAAAGACCAAATATATGTGAGAAATATATTTTGGTCGTCTGAATGAACAAATATATACCTCTTAATCTGTTACAATATCACATTACTACAATCTACTGATTACAGTTCTATAGTGTCTGTCCCTGTATTTCCTATAAATTGATGATTAGGTCTAGATATTTGAGAGGTTTTAGTAAGTTTTAGTGTGGTTATGAACTCATGGCACCTGAGATCTTCTAATAGGACCCTAGTATCCTTAATGGCTTCCTTGCTTTATAGTAGGTCAAGATATTATAGGCTCAACATTTGCAGTTCCTTTCCAGATATGGAAATAATCATTTTCTCTAAGGAGTTCTTTTTTCCTTTAGTGGGGACTGGTATTTAGAAACCACAATCTGGGTGCCAAGGGTGCTAATGAGTTTATCATAGTTTCTAGGCCTTTCAGTGGAAAGAGGAAATATATGTAAATATAAAATATTTATACATATATAAAATTCATAACTACAATTTCTACAGAATTTTTACTTAACCTACTGATTATCAAGGTTATTTCTTCCCATGCATAATCTCATTGCAGGAAAGTTTGGAGAGGGCTTAAAGTTGTTAGAGGCAGTTAGTTAGGTTCTGACAGGATGCCTGGAAGCTAGCAAAGAGGAAGTCACAGCTAACTAAAGTCAGGGGTCTATCCTGGCAGCACTCCAAAACAAAAACACAGGAAACCAGATTAAACCAGACAGGCCCAAGATGGCTAAAAATTCTCCTCCCTAAGGGTGCCATGACAGCAAATCCCCAACGAACTAAGGAAGAAAAGGCACATAACCCACATTCCTGGAAGAGACCACCTGTTTTGAAGAAAATTTCCACCTTAGAGTAATGAATATTCCACCCCTTTGTTAACAACTGTCGATTAAAGATAGAAATCCAAACCCCAGTGGGTGCAGCACTCCCTTGAGCTCACCCGCTCTCACGTCTAGAGAGTGAGTAATAAGACTTAATAAACTCTCCTGTTTGTACTGCTCATCTCCTGTGTTGTGTCTGTCCTTGAATTCTTTCTCATGAAAAGATTAAGAGCCCCCAGCAGTATCTTTTGGATGGGTTGTGTCAAGGCCTTGGAGCCCGAGGTATCCCCAGTCCACCTGGCAACAAAGATACACCAACATAATAAGATGCTAAGAGCCAATGTGGGCACAGCTCCTGTAAAGAGCAGAAGTGAGTCAGGCTGTCACTGTGATATGTGTCCCGA